TCAAAGTTTCGGGATGGAAACATTGGTCTGCAGTGAAACATATACTCAAGTACCTGAGAAGGACTAAGGAGTACATGTTAGTTTACCGTGCAGACAGCTTGTTACCTCTGGGTTAGAGTAATTCCGATTTCCAGTAAGATAAGGATGAAAGTAAGTCAACCTCGGGTTATGTGTTTACCTTGGGAAGTGGGGCCATTTCATGGAGGAGTGCTAAGCAGAAATGCGTGGCAGACTCCACCATGGAAGCCGAGTCCATAGCAGCCTCAGAGGCAGCGAAAGAGGCAGTTTGGCTCAGGAACTTCTTAGTGGACTTAGAGTTTATACCGAGTTTTCCACGTGGTATCACCGTGTACTGTGATAACAGTGGAGCAGTAGCGAACTCAAAAGAACCTCGAGCCCACAGGGCAAGCAAACACATAGAGCGCAAATATGATCTGATTCGGGATATCGTTGGTAGAGGAGACGTTGCTGTTGCCAAGATTGCGTCAGAGGACTACCTAGCTGATCCTTTCACAAAGAGTTTGCCGGGGAAGGTCTTCGTCAAACACGTGGAAGGAATGAGAGTCATGAGCATGGTAATAGGATCGACATAGGTCTTTTAGAATAACGAATTGATAGGACTATACTGTAAAGGCGAAAGCTTTAAGTATAAGTGGGAGATTGTTAGTGTTATATACTGAAAGCTTGGCTTTGCATGTTATTACACATTTACCCTTTATGAATAAGAATCATGTTAGATTAAACAAGTTCTATGTTCTGTTGTTCTGCACTTAGATAGGGTGGGTCGTCATCGGGCGAACCGAAGATCACTCTACCAGTCACTTGCGAACAAGAATAGTTGTTCACAATCTAGATGGACATGAACACCCCATCCGAACGGTTGTAGTGTCAACTGTACAGTTTGTCTTGACTAATTAGTTGCACTAGTACATTTATGTATTGAACAGGATCCCAGAGAGGAGAAGTTCATTTTATACTGATCGTCGTAAATGAACTAGGCCTCGGTTAATTAATGCGTTCTCTTAACCAGTAAGATATTAAACAGGTAGATATATATAATATATATTACTTTAATTTACATGGGTGAGGTTCAGTTCGCTGGATTAATATTCCTACTGTTTTGGGTATTATTATTATATATAGGATGTGTTGTTAGGATATTTACGGTCACCATGTGCGTTAGTTTGATGATGTCCCCGGAGTGAGTTCATGAAGGATTGTTACGTTAAACCCTGCAAGTGGATTAAGTTCCGGTATAATAAGAATGTGATGAACGAACGCTAGCTTCGGTGAAATAATAATAAATTAATTAATTCTTGATTGTTACTAATCGAATTAATTAATTCTTGATTGTTACTAATCGAATTAATTAATGGACATTATATCTTAAACGTGGGTAGATAAATCGAGTAATTATTATTGGAGTCTCAAATGTAATTTGGGCTAGGAAAGGGAGTGTAATATTATAATGTTGGTGGCCCATTAATATTACTAGTTTTACCACGTGCATTTGCACCAAAAACGCTATAGTAGAAGAAAAGTAATTAAAAATATTGAATTAAATAAAAATCATACCTTAATAAAAGAGAAAAAAAATAAAAAAGTGAATCTAAATATTACTAAATAGTTCTTTATATACAACAATCGTGGTTTTTTCTATCGTCAGAATTCCCATCACAATAAATCAGGATCGCTAACCTTTTCGACTCGTGACTCTAGGATTTGATTTTTCAAAATATTTGATGTATCTTTGTAATATCCGAAAAAAATATTTTTTTATCATTGTATGACTGCAATAGAAAATAGAGATATTTGTAGTCATTCTTAATTAATTGTGAAATATGTATTTATATAATACCAAAAAATATATAGTATCAAAATAAAAACAAAAATATTTTGTATTTCAGGACATAAAAAATGCATTATAGAAATGGGCACATTCTTGTCTAAATAAATTGTGTAACTGAAAGTTGCATATTATTAAATGGTGAACATATTCTTATTAAATGAACACCTGCTGGTAAGGAAACTCTTCTCAAATCTGTCATTCAGGCACTCCCTATCTTTACTATGTCTTGCTATAAACTCCCCATTACTATTTGCAATGACATTTCAAAACTGTGTGGTGATTTTTGGTGGCAAAATTGGGAGAATAATGGTAAAGGCATCCATTGGAGGAGCTGGAATGTTCTGACATTAACTAAACTAAATGGTGGACTTGGTTTTCCTGACACAAAACTGGTCAATGAAGCTCTCATATGCAAGCAACTGTGGAGGTTGGCCACCAAACCTGATTTTCTTGTCTCTAAGATACTCAAGGACATATATTATCCTGATTGTTCCATCCTAGAAGCTGTCAAATCCCAAAGGGGTTCTTGGCTTTGGAATTCTTGGCTTGATGTGATGCCTGTGTTTGCCAAGTGTTTGAGAATTGAAATCAGAAATGGAGCCCTTACAAGAATTAGTGACTTGAACTGGATTCCTCAGTAACCTCAGGCAAAACCTACGTTGATGAAACTTGCTAGAGGACACCTAATCTGGGTAAAAGATCTTCTAAATGCAGATGGACAAGGCAGGAATGAGTGGTTGATAAGGCAAGTTTTCAATGACTTTGATAGTGAAGCTATTCGGAGCATAAACTCAATCAACAGAGACAGGAATGACAGGATGTACTGAGGATTGGAAGCAAAAGGCCACTTCTCTATGGCAAGCACATATTCTTACCTCTCATCTCTGAAAATTCAAAAACTTGACATACCAGAATGCAGCACCACAAATGCAAAGAGTCAGTCTGTCCTTTATAGGGGATGGAGTCTGAAAATTCAGGCTAAGGTGAAGCATTTCCTTTGGAAATGTCTGTCTGGCACTCTACCATTTGCTACACATCTTGTGAAGAAAGGCCTTGAGGTTGATATCATCTGCTCTCTTTGTGGAGAAGGCCCAGAATCAGTAGAACACATTTTCTTCACCTGTCTAAGAGCATGTAGAATGTGGGAAAAGGCTCCAGTGCATTGGGTAGGTCTCAACAGTTTTACCAACTCCTTTAGAGCTTGGTGGCAAGGAGTTTTCTCTCTAAATCACTCTGAGGTCTCTGAAGCAAGGATACAATTGTCCACCTACCTCCTTTGGTGGCTCTGGAAATCCAGAAACCTTTGGATTTTTGACAAAACTCTGCTTCCAGTGCATATTCTCATCAAATCAGCTCAAAGGGATTGGTTGGAATATGTACATGCATCCTGATGTTTTCTGTAGTTTCTCTAGCATGTGTCTGTGGTGTGGTTTTTGTTTTTGTTTCAGTGTTTGTTGGCTAGTGTAGTTCTGTTCTTTTCAGTTGTCTTGCTTTGGAATATTGAGTCTAGCTAGGCTTTGAAGCAGTGGGTAGGCTCTCTATTTCATTTTGTAATTTTATTGTTGTTTGTTGAGGTTCTAGGCCACTTATAGTGTGCCTCTCATGTTGTTTTTCTTTTTTGATTGAGTAGGTCTTCCTTGTATTGAACTTTTTTGGCATTTGCGGTTATTAAAAGTACCCATATCGTTCTGCAAAAAAAAAAATAAAAAAAAACCTATTTGTATTAATTGAACTCATATTATTATTAATTGTTGGCTGAATAAAATTTATTGAAGCTTGCCAGCAATTTATATATATATATATAGATTTAATTAATTAGAGGAGTGGGCTTGACGCACAGTTAGTCTAATTAATTAAGGAGCCCTTTTTCTAATGTCATGGGGTCCCTACTGTAGCTCTATATATACATCATTAAGCTCATGAGAAGAGAAGACATCTATCATATACAAACACACGCCCCACGCCTCTCTCTCTCTCTCTAGATCTCATTCGAGCTTTATCTTCTTCTTGTTGCTCCACTGATACAAGTCGAAGAAGGGTGTATTGAGTAATACAGTAGAAGATCTGTAGGTAAACCGATTTTATCCTACAGAACTAACCGGAGGTTCGATTAAGGAGTACAACATACTCAGACGACCGTCTCGACGAGATCTTTCCATCGCCGCCGAGATCGCCGCACGCGCCCTCAAGCGCCGCCAGAAGGTGTCTGGTAGCAAGTTTCGTCTTCATCTGTTTGCACCCGTTTGATCCGATTTTGATCTGATCTTGTTCGTGCACCCCAAGACGTGATTTGCGGTCAACCGTTCGTGGTAAACTAGATCTACATAAATTTTAAGCGGTAAGCTCTCTACGTCAAACCTTTAGATCCGCTGCGCATACGTTTACATTTGCTATTGAATTCGTGACTTGTACATAATGAGATCCTCATAGATCCCAACAATATTGACCCGTAAGCTATGAATAATTTTATATTTAATTTTATGTTTATTTTTTAATTTTAATAAAAATATTTTTTCTTGTCAATATATTATATACCAAATTTAAGCCATGCAACTAATAAAGGTAATAGCTGCAAGTTTTGTCAATATATTATATACCAAATTTAAATTATACAACTAATAAAGGTAATAGCCGCAATATTTTATAAAAATGATTTTGTACATTAATTACATTGATTTTTTTTTAATTCGAATTTCAAATAATTTTCCACCATTTCTAAAAAATATTTAAAAAAAGTTACTAATAAAGGTAAAAATTGAATGGCAGGATTTTAGTTACTATTATAGATAAATACAAACCTTTTTATATAGATATAAATTTTGTTTCATATAAGTTATCCTTGAAAATTTTACACATTTTAAAAAACTAAAGATTTTATTTTTTTTGTAAACCAAAGTTTTGGATTTATCTAAAGAAATAGGAAAATAACCATATCATTTGATAAGATTTGTGTCTGGCAAGGAATTGATATTGATAACTATTTCAAATCTAGACCGAGAAATATTTTTTTTTTTTTTTTTTATCGAAACGGTAGATTGAATAAAACTGAAAAAATGTACAAAGTTCGACGGCTAAATAGCCTAACCCGACCGAAGTCAAATCTGAGGAACACACGCAGGTGCCCTAAATCAATACCAAACCTAGAAAAAACGAGCAGCCCGGCAGAGCAGTAGCATCTGAACCCAAGGCAACTAACAGAACATGAACCCAACAATGATCATCAGACAAAAGACAACTAAAATAGGAGACCAAATCTGCAGATATCTATCCAAACAACAGTAAGAAAAACAACACAACCTAAACTTAAATTTCAACCACTGAACTATAGAACCTAGTTGATCCTTAAGCCTTGAGTCCCTGCTGTCTTCATATTCAATCCATTCATTCACTGCTGCCTCCACTACATCCCTAGCTGGTCTGAGAACATTTTGAAAGATCCAGTAGTTTCTCGATTTCCAGATCCACCAAAGGAGGTAGACTGTGAGGCAAACTCTATCATTATTGGTAGGATTTTGTTTGAGATAGCATATCTTATTCCACCAAACTTTAAAGCTGTTTTTGTCCTGTTCCAGCCCATCCCAAGTGAGTGGAGAAAGAGACCAAATCAATTTAGCTCTAGAGCATTGAAAGAACATATGCTCCATAGTTTCAGGTGTCTCCCCACAGTTTTTGCAAATGGTATCCAAGGAAACTCCTTTTTTTGAAAAGGTTACAGTTTGTTGGGAGGAGCTTTGAGTAGCTCTTCCATAAGAAGTGCTTCAATTTACCTTTAACTGTCAAACCCCAACTTCTTTTTCTCACTCTCTTAGCAGTTAGGTGCTCCCAGCTACTCTCAGGGTTATCCATGTGACTCCATTTTAGATGAATGAGTTTAAGGTATGTGGAAGCCACTGTAAAATCCCCTTTGGAGTTCCAGTCCCAACAGACTCTGTCTTTTTCTGTAGGTTCCAAGCTCTTGATAGCTAAGATGGCTTCAATCTCATGCTCACTGAATGTCTCCTTAAGAAGCTCAATGTTCCATCTTCTGCCAGTGCTATCAAGCAGGTCCTCTACCAATTTGATTCTAGAGTTTGCTTGTAGGGTTGAAGGTTTAAATCCTGGAAGAGAAGGTATCCATGGATGTTCCCACACATTGGTTGATTTCCCATCCTTTACTTCATGTCTGAGCCCTTTGACCAGTGTTTCCCTTGCCCCCATCCAGCTGTTCCAAAGCCATGAGCCTGCTTGTGATTTTTTAGCTATTAGGATTGTGCCATGTGGATAATACTTGGCCTTCAGTATTTTACTCACAAGCAAGTTAGGTTTGGTGTAGAGCCTCCAGAGCTGCTTTGTTATCAGAGCATTGTTGAGTAAATGGATATCTTTGAAATTCAATCCTCCAAATTCCTTGGGCACAGCAAGTTTATTCCAGGATTTCCAAAAAATGCTTCTTCTATTGTTCCCAGAGTTCCATCAGAATGATGCAAAAAGCTGAGAAATAGAGTTACACATGGTTTTGGGCAAAATAAAGCAAGACATCACATATATAGGAAGAGCTCCCAACACTGCCTTGAGGAGAACTTCCTTCCCTGCAGTAGTCAAAAAATTATTTTTCCAGCTTTGGATTTTTTTTTTCACACTTTCAGTAACAAATGAAAAGGTCTCAAGCTTGGACCTGCCAATTCCCAAGGGCAATCCTAAATATTTGGAAGAATTATGATGGGATATGCCAAGGAGAGTTTGACAAATATCATTTTTGAGGGAAGAATCACAGTTCCTACTGAAGAAAGTTGTAGATTTCTGGAGGTTGACTGTTTGGCCGGTAAAAGTTTGGAACTGAGAGAGTATGTTCATAAGTAGCCTAGCATGCTGGATATCTGCTTTACAGAAGATTAGTGTATCATCTGCAAAGAACAAGTGAGTGAAAGCAGGGCCATTGTTACTAATTTTAAGTCCATGAAAGAGGCCATATCTGGTATATCTTTTAATGAGGTTAGACAAGATTTCAGAGACAAGGATAAATATGTAAGGAGATAAGGGGTCTCCCTGTCTAATACCCCTAGAAGAAGTAAGATATCCTTTAATTTCCCCACTAAAATTGAAAGAAAATGAGGCAGAAGAGATACAGGCCATTATCCATTTAATGAAAGAGGAGCGAAACCCAAGTTTAATCAGAATTTTCCTAACACAGTCCCATTCCACCCTATCAAATGCTTTTGACATGTCAAGCTTCACAGCCATGTAACAATTTTTACCCATTCTATGCCTATTCAGAAAATGAATGGCTTCATTTGCAATTATTACATTGTCCATGATTTGCCTATCAGCTACAAATGCAGACTGATTAGCACTGATGCATAAGGGGAGACATGGCTTAAGTCTTTTTGCAAGGATTTTGGCAATAACTTTGTAAGTAACACTGCAAAGACTTATAGGCCTATATTGGGAAACTGTTTCAGGGTTCTGGCATTTAGGAATAAGGGTAATCAAAGAATGGTTGATGCTTTTTAATAACTGACCAGAATCAAAGAAGCTTTGAACTAAAGCACAAAAATATGATTTAACAATATCCCAAAAAGACTGAAAGAATGAGGATGTCATACCGTCTAATCCCGGAGATTTGTTGGTGTCAATGTTGAATACTGCTTCTCTGATTTCCTCCTCTTCCACAGCAGCAATAAGTTCAGAGTTAAGGCCAGGGGTAATCTTGTGCTGAATCTCTCTCAATAACTCAGTACCATCCACTTGCCCTTGTGAGGTGAATAACTTGGTATAGAAATCTTCCAGACACTCCACCATATCCTCTTTAGTTTCACACACACTGTGGTCCTCTTTGATCAGCCTTGTGATTTTATTCTGAGCTCTTCTTTCCTTAATGCAGGCATGGAAGTAACGGGTGTTTTTGTCCCCATTTTAAGCCAGTTGTTCCTAGCCTTTTGTTTCCAGTAAAGCTCCTCGGAAGCATTAGCCTTATCCAACTGACTTTTGAGTTGATCCCAAAGTGCTCAGTTTCTCTCACTCCCCTTGTTGTTGAGCTCATTTAATTGCTGATTAAGGTCTGCAATTTTGGTATAACTCTCAGCTTTGAACTTACTGCTCCATTTGAGAATTTCTATCCTCATGCCCTTGATTTTCTCCTGGAATTTGAACATTGGGGTGACAGTGTAAGGTTTGTCCCAGGCTGTTGCAACTATGTCCTTAAGACCATCTCTTGCTAGCCATCTTTTGTCGAAGCAAAACCTTTTCTTGACTGTTGAGATTCTAGGGTCGAAGTTTATGAGAAGAAGTCCATGATCTGAGGAACTCCTATGGACATTGGTAACTTCAGCTGTGGGAAACTGTTGATGCCAACCCAGTGAACTACAAAATCTACAAAGTATGAATTCATTTTGACAAAATCTACAAAGTATGTGCGATTATATTTGAATTATAGGATCAGANTAAAGATTATAGATTCAGGGCTTTTTTCCGATATCTTAAATGTGATATTTTGCACTTTTAATCCTTCCTTTGTTTTCCAAAAAAATAAAAGGTAAAAATATGCTTTCCTTTTTTTTTTTTATAAAATAAAATATTTGAAAAATTATAGATTCACGTGTTTTCCCAAAAAATTCATTATGATTTCTTTCCTTTAATCTTTCGTAATTCGTACATCTAGAGATTAATATATTCACGTATTTTTTTTATCCAAATTTAATGTTATATTTGGTACATATAATATTTAATTTGTTTCCAGAAATTATTGTCAAAAGATACTGATGATTTTACCTAAATGTGTATAAAAAAAATGTGATTTTATTTTACATGTTATTTTTTAAAATTCATTAATAGGAAGTCAACTAATTTAATTAAAAAGTCAAAGTTACTATTTTCGTATTTTTCCAACAACCTTTTCATATTAGTGTAGATTTTTTTTCGTTTAATATTATATTTTGTCAATCAAACAACAAAAAAATAAATACATAAAAAATGAACTGTGTTGAATGTATCGGAAGTTTAAACCATAATTGTGCAACCCGGAACGGCCCGACGGGTTTCCTCGGAGCCTGTACCGGTCCAGGTGGGCTATTCAGACCGGATAACAAAGGTCCCGGTGAAACCCAGTCAAAACCGGCCAACCCGGCCTTGACCCGGTTGATCCGAGGCTCTCATATATTGTCTTTTATTTTTTAAAATATTTTTTATTTATAAAATATAAAACTATGTGTATATATTTATATAGTAAATGTTTATCATGAAATACATATTATTACCACTTTAATGTACAAAATTTATATACAAAATATTTAATTTTGTTACTTTTATGTATATTTATATGATAAAACACTCTATATATAATAAATAAAATTTTAAAATTAATTATCCGTTTCAGCAATGGACCCGGTGATCCAGCGGTTGAACCAGTGACCCAGAGACCTGCCCGGGTTGATTCCTGGGCCGGGTTTAAAAACTATAGTTTAAACACAAATTTGAGAGCCACGCCACCCCTTTTCACGAGCAACTGCGACCTGAAGGTAAGAACTCGCACCCGAGAGCTTTCCGCCACTACAAGCTGCGTCTTGCCGAGCAACGAGCGCACGAGATCAGATCCACCCACGGGCGACCATGCATCGCCGAGGGGAAGCCGTGATCGAACAACAAGAGACCACCACCGCGAGCCCCACGCGCACAACCGCGACCCGAGGGCTTCACGTGAGCCGCGCTGAGAGCCGAGTGCCACCGTGTTCAGCAGCGACCGAGCCTCGATCCAAGCATCTCTCTCTCTCTCTCTCTCTCTCTCCTTGCTTGTAGATTCAAGAAGAGAGATAGATTCCTCTTCCTTCTTCTTTGTTGAAGTTATTTAAGTTTTATTTGAGATCTATGTGCTTAAGGTCCCTTGAAAAAGCTTTGAAATGTTGGACTCTCTTAGGCCTTGTTTTGTAGCCTTAAATCTTGCAAATTGCACCTTGAGATGCTGAAATTTTTATATCCCTAAAGCCTCGAAGAGTTTTGCTGGATGCCTTGTATTAGAATAAATTTTTTTGCCTTGGAGCTATGTGTCTTTCGTTGGAAAAAGACCCGAATTATTAAGCCTTGTTTTACCCTTGAGTGCCTTGAAAACTTTTAGAGCCGTACCTGGCCGTGAACTGTAGTGCGTCGGAAGGTCTCGGTCCGGGCGTCACATTCTACCTGGCAGCCAAGCAGTTACGCAGGCACAGCTGGGCGCTGGCCGAGCGCCTTGCGCAGCGTGCCGCGCGCAGTGTGCCACGAGTCGTGCCCAGTCGCTCGTGTCGTGCTGCTGCTGCTGTTGTCCATGTCCGCGAGAGCCCATCCCTTTGACTCCCCGTGAGCATCCCAGCGAGCGTGCGTGCGCACACTCTTCTGTGCCAGCATGTAATCCTGGGACTCATCCCAGTCTACGTCAACCTGTGACTCGACCAGACCTCAGCAACTGCGGTCAGTACCAGCGTGCACGAGAGCACTGAGACCGAGGTTTCCTCGTGATCGGAGCATATGGTTGAGCCGCAGAGCACGGGGCAGCGTCAGAACGCGTCGAGCAGGGTGTGCCCAGGGCCATCCGCGGTCAGACCGAGCAGCATCTAGCCAGCCGCATCGAACCCGCTCCAAGCCGAGTGTGTGGAACATTTTCGAGCCCTTAAACATATTTTCGAGCCAAACCTCGATTTTTGTTCCAAAAACCTTTTTCCGAGCCGTAAATTACCCTTAGCGGAGAGTTTTAATATTAAAATAATTTTTCTAAGTCAAGCATCTTAAGCTAAATAACTTCTTTAAGTTGGTAATTCTATTTACCAAGAATGAGATAAGTTGTTTATAAGAGTTTTTGTGCATAAATGTGGATTTCGAGGAGTCGAGCCTGGAGAGTTGTTTTGAGTGACATCACCTATTCATCATCTGCATTTTTTCTCACATCATCAGTTACCAGGTTGGGGTTCTATATACTATGGTTTATTCTGTATAACCATGTGGTAATAGAGTTCTTATATGCATATGATTGTGGGCCGGTGGGCCGAGTAAGCAGTTAGTTTTCTACTAGCAGTATATTTTGATGCCGACGACACTAGTAGAGTTACTTATTAGCGGGACCGCTTGATGTCAATGGCAGTAGCAAGTAACCTGAAGTGAATAAGATTTCACCCGGGCTCTTTCAACTCGAACGGCCACCGGACCTGCAAGAACCCAACGCCAGGAGGGGTCCCAGCGTCGGGCCTCCGACGCTCAAGTCAGTATCACTCCAAGTCTCAAGAGTATAATTATGAATGTAGAGAGAGTGTGAGAATGAGATACCTTAGCCCCCTTTTATAGGGGGAGTGTACCTTATGGCCTAAGTTGGGCTTGTCCAATAGCATCATGTCACGTGTCCTAGCCATGTGTAGGTTTATTCTTCAATATATTCTCTTTTTATCCATTAAACTCGGTATAGTATAATATCTTTATATCATCTAGTCCCCCACTCTGGTCGAGTAAGCATGACTCGATCCAAGAGTGAAATTCCTCTTCGGGCTGTTTCCGTCAACTTGCCATTGAGGTTATAATTTGAATAAATCATCGACCACCAAAATAGTCACCAAACCTCCAAATGCGCATCGGGACCCCAAATGAACATCGAATGACCACTAAGGTCAGAAACCGAAAGACCCGCCACTGGGGTCGAATACCAAAAGACCTGCCTCTGAGATCGAATACCGAGAGACCCGCCACTAGGGACGAATACCGAAAGCTGAACAACTAGTGAGGTCGAAAACTGAATGACCCGCCATTGGGGTCGAACACTAAAAACCGAACGACCACTTAGGTCAAAAATCGAGAGACCCGCCACTGGGGTCGAACATCGAAAGCTGAACGACCACTGATAAGGTCGAAAACCAAGTGACCACTGATGAGGTCGATGACTGAGAATTGAATGACCACTGATGAGGTCGAAACCAAGTGACCGCCGATGAGGTCGAAAACTAAGTGACCGCCGGTGAGGTCGAAAATCGAAAACCGAATGACCACTGATAAGGTCAAAAACCAAGTGACCACCAATGAGGTCGATGACTGAGAATTGAATGACCATTGATGAGGTCGAAAACCGAGAACCAAGTGACCGTCGATGAGGTCGAAAACCGAAGTCTTGAATATAAAAATTTGAACTTAAGTATTGTTGTTTTTCGATCACCATGTTCGAGCTCTCTTCATTCAAAAATAAGCCTTTCCTACCACCTCCTCCTATGATTGCCCCCTCAGTTCAAATTTTGAAATTCAACCCTACTGTTTATCCTCTCGAAAACCGAATGTCCTGACACCACACCGAAGTCGAAAGCCTAATTTCGACAAAACCAAATAAAATCATCAACCTGAACAACTTGGCTCCGTGAACTGCTCTGAGTGAACTTGTAACACCCCGCTTATCAGAGTAACTTTTTCGCAACCTTTTACTTCGGTATCACTTTAACTTTTTCGAAATAATTGCAACTTACTCGGGATGCTACTAAACTCGTCTTCTTGAAAATCCGTTTATCATTAAACTGTTGTCTAATACTTCTTTAGACTTATTAAAACAGATTTCCTTTAAACTTGCATTTAACATATATCATCATATTTCTCATAAAAACTTGAAATCTAAAATTCATTAAAATGCAAGTTTAATAATTAATGTGCGTAGCAAAAATATTTGAAACGTGGTTAATTATACAAACTTTATAAATGTCCACATTAAAGCTTGTCTTCATTTTCTTCCACGATCCACACCACACGGCTCTTCTCACACCTCCTCGTTAACCTGTTACCTGAAACTAAAACTCATGGGGGTGAGTAACGAATATGGATAATCATAAACCGATATCTGATCGGTAACTTAAACTTAAACTTTCATTTCTCTGGCCGATGGTTAATTGGATACGTGTGCACACTCTGATGGATATTTCTCAGGCCCGTCTCGCCTCCATCAGAACTTAGGATATAATCTTTGAGACAAATTAATGCCTCCTCATCCCAAGCGTAATAAACCTTAAACTTCGGGATATAACTTTTGAGACAGCTGATGGTCTCCTCATCCCATATCACATATCGTACTCAATGTGCTACCCATTCAGGGTCCCCACCTTTTCATCTTTGAAATCGTTTGTAACTCAATAAGTTCTGTACTGGTACTGTATCTGCAAGTTAAATCAAATATAGACAAATATACTAAGTACTATGCTCGTATACTCAATAAGTTCTTAGGATTATTAACTTATCCTATTCTTAAACTTGCTTATTCTCAAGTTTATACTTAACGTCACTTTTTACTTTTACTCAAAGTTAATTACTTAACCTTATAAAACATATCTTCTTAAACATCAATATGTTTCATAACATGCCATAACTCAAATGTGAAAAATAACCATATTTCACATTATACTTGATTAAGTACTTAACTTACTTTTACCATCATCATCATCATCATGGTTTATAAACTCATCTTAACTTGATTTTTCACTCAATCAAGTACTTAATTCATCATACATCATACTTCTCAAAATTTAGATATTGACTTATTTTTCACTTAATTATCTTGAAAGTGAAAATAATCATATCATACTCAACTTTCTCATCATGTTCTTAATATGTGAGATTTAAAAAATTTTTTATAAAATCACATACTCAACATATTGAACTGAAACTTGGTCAAATTGCTCATCACTCATATAAGAATTTTTTTCTAAAAATTCCATTTTAAAAACTCAACCATATACTGAATACTCTTGCATATAAAATCATCTTGACATGTATGCCATATAAATATTTTAACTTGTTCATTTCTCAACATAATATCATGAAATTTGGCAGTCATGTTCTTAACCCATATATAAGCATGTCGTAAAAATTTTTTCATAATTTTATCATGTGTATATATCGAGTTATTACAATTTTAAAGTCACAGCTGAAATAAAGAACATAAAATTCAACTTGCATGCTTAACTTCAAAAATTTATAACTCAAGCTATACTATGCCAAATGACATAATTCTTGTTCTCATGAACTCCTCTTTTACACAAGAATTTATCATGTAAATCATACTTTTCCAGCTTATTCTTTTCTTTATCAAAATCTCATTCAAATCAAGCACATATATCATCTAATTGATCTTGAACAACTTTAACTCTTTTTATTCATATGATCAATTATAAACTCAACTTCTAATCATGATATACATACTTATAAACATGTAAAATTATCATCAAGACATGAACTTAAGCATATAACTTCAAGATAAGTAAATTACCTCCTTCTTGCTAGAATAAAAACTTGATTCTTCACTTCAAATTCTTCACTCCACCAAAATTTCTACTACTTATTCTCTCTTATAAACTTATATAACTTTTAAAAGTTTTCTTTTGGTGTCAAAACTCTGAGTTTTAGGCCTCTATTTATAGGAAAAATTTTCAAGACATCATAATTGAGTGAAGAAATTAACAAAATAAACAATACAAACTTGTAAAAATAAATATATATAATAAATAGTATTCTTAACTTGTAAACTTCTCCAACCCATAGTCAATGCTTAGAAAGGCCCCTCTTCTGATCCTAATCTGATCTTAATGATTAAATTCGAGATTTAGTGAAATTCTCCAATTTACGGAACCAAATTCTGACTTAAAACGAACAGTTACCGTAAAGTCGAAAATTCTTACTATTTTCGAATTTCCTTCTTTTCTTTTGGCATTTTTCCTTTTTATGCTGAAAAATTTTTCTTGTCTTGTAGTCTACTAAAAAAATAGAGAGAAAATAATTTAATTTATTTCTCGGAACTGAAATCGGACATAAATTCCGACTACAATCGAAAACCGAAAAAAACTAAAT